CAGACCCCTTGCACGTGACGTCAAAGCAGCTCAATCTGGGGGACAAAACAAAAGAATTTCCTGAGAATTGGAACCCATTGTTTCCCAGATTGAGCTGCATTCCAAAGTGCTGCAAGGGATCTATAGACAATAATGTCTCCTGTTTATCGAAGTCAGAAAAGGCTTATTGCATTAGACCTTAATAGCCTCTCCCTCCTTTATCACCTTCTCTAGAGAACATCAGAAAATCAAAAGGCGAGGATGAGTATAAGGATGGACATCAAATGCAATGGGATATAAGTAACAAATAGAGCGAAAGGTAGAATCGATACTGATTAATTATTTCAAAGTCATATTTAGGTGTCAACACAAAAACGTTTATGTTACATGTAACAAGGAAAATGTGGACATCCTAGGGGTATTTTTGTTATCTTCCTAAATTGACCACTTATCGAGCACCATAAAGTCAGTAGAGACCCTGGGGAAAGGAGCGCGAAAAATTTACATTCGGGGAAGGGGGAGGATGCATGGGGAGGGGAAATATGCCAAGGTTCAGTTTAATTCCAAAATTATTATAATGTAGTAATAATATCATATATCAATCAAAGCTGAATTTTAGACCCTTAGGCTTTCATGTGTTTATATTTTGTCTTTGGTTCGAGTTATTGCATTTATACGTAAATTTTTCTTTAATTTAAGTAAATACTAAAAAACGTAGTTCTATAATGTATATTCTTGTTAATAGAAAAGGCTGTTATGCTGGGAGGCAAGTTGAGCTTGTTTACTTTATAAAGAGAACGCATATCCTTAAATAGGCGGAACTTCTCCAGGCTTTTGACACTTGGGCAGAAAAGTACATCAGGCTAGAACAGTCTTTTATTGATTCGAGCTACAAAAATATAGGAGTAGGTTGACACGGAAGGAAGGAACGTACAGTTAGATGAATGAAAATAATTCTTGGCCGGTTGGCGGCCATGTTGGATTATATGAAACAGAAAGCAATGACACGTGAAAGTCATCCAAGATGGCGGCTCTATGACAATTAAAGCTTTTTAAAAGTGACTCAGTTCGTGGACTTGACTTGCTTTCATAGAAAAGAGATAGAGTCTTTGAGTTCTTTTTCAACCTATAAATAGAGGAAGAGGAAGAGAGAGAATCGGGGATGGTAGAGGATGAATTGTGCCTTGCATTTCAGTTGACCAAGCTGAACTTGCTTTAAATTTTACACAATCATACGGCATAATATTTTAACAGTTTAATCTTTTTCATCTCATTCTATAATCTTTATTCAATTCCTCGTTTAAATGGATTTCAAGAACCTCAACAAAGCTTACTTTTGTTCGAGGAGTGTTAGCCCTTCAATCTTATAGTTTCCGCGGATTGCTGGCTGAGTGACCGATACGACAGATTAAAATTGTTTTTTTTTTWAAAATTGGCATTTTTTATTGAGTTGATTTTGTTCAGTTTAATGAAGATATTTAATGAAAGCAAGAGTCAGAATGAACATTATGCTAAGCTTGGCAATTGACTTGATTTGCTAGATTACGTTATAGGCATGAAGAAAGTAAAAAAGAAAGGAAGGAAGAAGAAAGGGAGTGGATGGAAGCCAAAGAAAACAAGTAAAAGTATTGGAAAGAAAGAGATAAAAATAAATAAATAAATAAAAGGTAAAGTAAAATAACGTGAGGGAAAAAGAAATGGAAAAACGAGAGGAAAATACAAACGAACGAAAAAACGGAAAGGAAAGGAAGAGGGAAAAAAANAAAAAAAAAAAAAAAAAAAAAAAAAAAAGATAGGATGCTTTTAATAATTTAAAACGATATTACACTTCCCTATTTCATGTTTTGACCATGACTGCTTTCTCTATTTTTAATCAAACACAGTGCACAAGCCATTACTATTATTCGTGCCTTTTATATATATATCTGAGTAAGTTAATTCTTTTAGTTATTTAGTTACAATGTGTAAGGGAACAAGTACTGAGTGATATCGTTTGGTGATACTTTGGTTTTATATTTGTGTCATTAAAATTATGTAAGATCCAGCTGCCTTTTTAGACACAGGTACTGTGATATTGTGAAAGAATATGCCGGGCAAAGCCTTGTTGCAGTCACACTTAGCTTAGTTTTCCTTAGCTTTTAGGTTTTTAAAAAAATTATATGTTAAAGTGGTCAAATTTCGCAAACCTTCTAGGATTTCACTGTCACTTATACAAATCGTTTTGGTCAACGTCTTCTCTGCGGCACTCCGGCGAAGACATGGATAGAATGCACAAAGGAAATTTATTCAGCTCGAGGCGACATACTAGCTAGATCTTATGCCAATTTTCACTTTTCGTCAAATTTTGTCAACAGAAACCATTGGAAAAAAAAACAACCAGAAATGGGGTAAGGAGTGATGATACTCAGAGGTTTTTCCTTTGCAGAATAAGAATTTGAGAGGTGTGGAGGGAGGAATCTCATAAAGCAATTCTAGTTTAAAGCTTCAATCGGTATTTCGATTATGTTTGAGGTATGTCTTGCCATTAGTGATACACATGTGGTATAATAATTGGTAGATAAAGAGAATAATGTAATTTTACGTGCGCGCCTAAAAACCTACTTACGTTTATGTCTGTAGATCGGTACAAAGCATCTGTACAGAGCAATGTCTGGAAGTCGCTTTAATTGCAAATTAAATATTGTGCTCATATGGTGATAGTCATATAGGAAGATTAAAAGAAGATAGGAAGAGCCATGATATTTATAGACGTTAGCAGAAAGAATGCAAATGCGAGGCCCAACATTTTTCTTTTTTGGCACTGGTGTATTTATTTTTCATGCTCGTTGGATGATATCGTATGGTCGCATGCAAAACTTCACACGCCTCCGACCACAGGGTGCACTCTCGACCTTCTTTATTAATCAATTATACTCGAAATGGAGGTATAGACGTAAAATGTCTGAGTGTCTATGCATGCCAACGTGGCTAAAGACCGTAGTATTTAAAAGTAAAGCTTAGTCAATTTTGCTAAATCTTGGAATACTCTATTTTGGTTTTATAATGTGCGATTTCCTATTTCATAAGAATTGAACTGTATAGTTTTTTCCAGGGATGTTGGGTTGAACACTGCGCAATTACTCTTCCATTGCTTGCAGCTACTACATGCGTGGGGTTTATACTGAATTACAAAAATGACTAGCACACACTTATGACAAAATTAAGTATCACATCCGAGATGATATTTATAACGAAGTGATGAGAAGCTCAGCTATAAATATTAAATTCATTTTCTTCAGAAATATGTGCGGTCTGCACTGACCAATGCCTGTGCATCTTATCATACGAGGATCAATATATTTATTATTATAATAAAAGTTTTATCAAAGTTTCTAGACTTTAAGTATTTTCGGTAGACAATAAATAATATAAGGAAATGATGCATCGTTTCAAATGAAAAACTTGATGAATTTTGTCCAAAACCGGACCATGTCGTGATGTATCCCTAAGAAGAGCTTACTCGTCGAGTGTTTTCAGTCACCACCCTTCGGGTATCTAGCGGTTTCACTTCCTTGAAATAATCAAAAATGGACCCCAGGGAAATTGTTATTCTTTTTCAAAGCAGTCTGTGATCCCTAGATCTTTTAAAATCACGACGTCTCGAATCCTCTATTATAATCCATACACTTTAATCATCTGGGCAAAAATCATGAAAGCAATTTTGAACTGAAGAACCTTAGATTCCATCAGTACCACCACATACTTTAATCGGCCCACAGCCATGACCATGACCTCAGTTTAATTACTGGCCAATTTCGTGATAAGCTGGCGAAATTGTCTCTCTTAATAGATTTTTTTAAATTGCATGATGTATAAGGAAATTAAAAATATATGCTGTCTGGGTTTTTTATTAAGAAATTGGCAGCGAATGTGAGTGTCTTTTAAAATATAAACTACAGTGCTGACAGTGATGTTTCGCAGCTTTAGCAATAAACGTGATGTTTTTGGTTTGTTTGTTTGCCGGTTTACTCTATCGTATCTATCTGGATTGATTTTTTTTTGCGTCTTACTTTTCGTTATTCTATTTTTCCGGCCATTATCTAAATAACTACATCATTTACAACAAAACTGTTAGTTTTTACTTTCGCGACTCCTGCTTAGAGCATTTCTGATATTGCATAGAAAAGTCCAAAAGAATATCGCCTCATTTTTATTTTTTTTGGATATACCCGTGAGTCCTTCCACAAAATATTTCCAAAACAATTCATTCAATTTCACCTTTTTAATCTTGCCGACAATTACTTTTAGTTATTGCATGAGAATCCCAAAAAATATCGTTAATAATTTCTATTAATATTCCTGTATTACACTCAAGAGTCTCAACTTCCACATATCTAATTAACAACAGTTCAATTTCACTTTTTCAATCGTGCTGACAAAAATTGCCGGAAAAATTCTAAGAAATGTCATTAATATTTTCTATTAAAATTCCTGAAATAAATAGATAATGATATTTTATATTAGATATTCTGTTTCTTTATACCCACGAGTTTTAAGTTCCACACATAAGAACTTATATATAATCAAGGCGTCTAGGCGTCTATGCTGCTTGTGCCTTTAATTTGAATTGCTGTGTTGAACCTTCTCAGCATGCATGCCACTGATCCATGCATTTATTTTATTGATTATTTCTGAAAAGAGATTTTACTACCTTGTATATTCCTTGATGATTGCCATTAAAATGGTCAGAGTCTTTAATAATGCATTGAACTGTTTTGCACGGTTAGATCTAATTTCAGGTTATTGAAAGGTCCGTATCGCAATACATTTTTTGAATAAATCTTTTTTTCCCTCAAAAAAGGGTTGTTTTTATTTATGAAAAAGTTATGTTAATGCCCACAAATTGACCAGTTACAATCCCCTTATTTGCGTTACATCCAGACCTCTTTCGCTACCCTGCGTGCTTAGCGCTTCTTCAAAGTATCTAATCATTAAGTACCCTTACTGCGCATGCATTGTTATTTTAAGGCTCTACTACTACTGGCAGTGCATTATCGTAAACACCTCATCGCTTCCGCTAAGATAGTGCAGAAGTCCCAATCAGACTCGACAATTGTCTTTCTCGAGTAAACATCTAGCTTGCTTCAATCTCTCTTTTGTCACAATTACCGCAAGTTTTCAGTCTATGTTCTCTCAAGCCAGTTCTCATTCACTGTGACTGCGTGAAAAAGGTAGGATTCAAAAATAACTATAAGTTGAACCACGTAGTATACAACTACTTCAATATTTTTGGTGTTCTATGATCATTTCTAAGGCGCTGAAATGTGGGATTTATTCTCTCGTTATTTTTTCCATGTGCAGACAGACAGTCTAAACATGTCTCGTTTCTAACTACCGATGCTACACGAATCGCCAAGGCACTTTTTAATTCAGGTTATTGATGGCAAGCAATGCTTTTTTGAATTATATCAATAACAAACAAATAAGGAAAAGTAAATCTACAGAAATTGTTGTTCAAACTCACTCTCTGCTCCGAATTTTTTGTTATAATATTTTAAATTTTATTTTTTAAATATTCATAAGATTTTTGATTATAGATTCAAAATTGAATCAAATACTATTTTTTTCAACTATTCTCATCTATTATTTTTTAGTTGAGCCACTATATATGTTGACATTTCAAAAAAAGCAAAGCTTAATATTAGAATCAAATGCACTGAAAATTAAGAAGAATGGATTGAAAGTTTAAAAATCATCGGTGTATTACAATTATAAGAAATTATCCACCTTTTTGACATCTCTTTTAAAAATCGAAATTTTAAAACTCATATTTACGTTTTAATTCAATATTTTCATGGATATTTCGTAAGAATATAATTTATTGCCTTGACCCTCGGTAAAAGCCAATCATAATCTTGAATAGTTTTAGCCTTTCAATTTTGATTTACTGTTAAAGTTCAACCGATGACACCAACACTATTTCTTGTAGCTCAAGGTTTGAAAACCCTGTTTTTGTTATAACAAAGACTGGCTGTCATAAATTTGTTATAACATCTTAGAAAATAACAACTTTACGACTGATAGGGCAGTTTGATTTGAACTTGAAGACCTATACAATTTAGTCTTGACTCCAAAATTTAACCCAATCAAAATGCCATATATTAAGTCAACAAAAAGTCAGTTTAGCCTTAAAACTCGCTTTCTGGACGTTTTATTCTCCTTTAGCTAATACGAAAAAGCTCACGTTAATCTTCGGAACATCGCAAAAGGTCGCAAAAGAAAAGCCACCTAAAAGTTAAAGACTTTAAAATGTTTTTGTGTTTTATATGGGATTAACTTGAGTCACAGATATCCAAAGCCCCTTTTAAATTTAAACCCTTTTTGAGTTAGAACTAAAGCTGAAGGATTATATTTATCATATGGAAGTGATTTATTGATAAAAGACAAAAAATTTCTATGCTTCGTATATTGGTTTAAAATGATTCAATTTTGTGAATGTTGAAGTCAACAAATGATATAAAAATAATGGGATATGAAAAATGAAATTTAGTGTTATCGCTGTTTAGCGGTTTCAGTTCGTAAAATAAGATTGGTCAGAGATGGAAAGGAAAGTTTGATTAAGGAAAACATGGGAATAGACTTGGAATAATCTTAGTGAGTCAGGAATAGAAATAGGAGAGTAAATGTAAAAATAAAGTTAAATAGGATTAGATTCAGAAAAATATTGAAGATGGTGGAAAGTAAAGGTGATAAGAAAGACAATAGAAAAATGTAGGTGACATGAAATATTGAGAAATATTGGTGAAAAGTGAAAAAAAAATCATTAGATTCAGCAAATTAATCTTAGATAAAAGACAAATAGATGGATAGAGGGAGGGAGGGAGGGAGGGA